CCTGGCGGTCTTTGTTAGATTACGGTATGAGCTGAGCAAGACGAGAAAAGAAGAAGAGCAGAGACAGAATAATGTTCTTTTGCGTTATCAGGGGGGGGGGGACGAACCCGACTGAATTGCCAGCGGAAAAACGAACCTCAAAAGCTAGAAATTGTAAAGACTTCGAAAATGTAGCAAAAACCCACGGCTGTTTATCACATAATCAAAATTTGTAGTTTTACGTTTATAAGTAGCAACAAAAAAATGAGAGCTCTCAAAAATCCTATTCTTTTTCATATCAGAAAAATTTGATCCTAATCCCAAAGTCCCCCCCCGATAATGCGAAAGCACGGTAGTAGACTCGAGAAACTCTCGGAAAAGACAAAACCAACCATAAAATTCCAATCTCTAAGTTCCGGCTACCCAACCATAAGCTACGCGCCCTAGACGGAAACCGAAAGGTGCCGCCCTATTGTCCCTCTACTCCAAGCGGCCATCGCTTGTGTATGTGTGTACCCAGCCAACAATAACAAGCGCTTCAGGGCCGAGAGCGGACGGAGGGGGTAACCGCGCCCAAATGCCCATCACTCGCTTGACCGCCTGCGGGAGGTTCAGCCGCAGGTTGATGCCTTTAGGGGCGCGCGCGGAGATCAAAGCCGGTGAGTGGAACGCAAGGAGGGCACGATTCAGCTGCTTTGCGCAAAAATGAGGATCAATATTACCTCTGGGGTTCGGCTGGGCTCGCGCGATGACGAGGCGACCGGGTGATGGGCTGAAAAAAATTAAACTTGAAAAAACCGCAAAAAGGTTCGAAAAACTGTGCTGGACTATTAGCGGGGGGGGGGGGGTGCCTGCCCATTTTTAGCCTGTATCAACGACTAAAATGTCTATTATCATGCAAAAAAATCGGGTTTTTTATCGTGAACTTGCTGACTAACACGCTACCCTCCAACGATAACAGCCTAGCACCAAAATGGTCTAAAAACGCTACAAAGAAAATTACGTACAGTAATCGCGTGCTTCGTGGCGGCGATTCGGGTTCCCGCATCCCGGACTCTCGTTGCCGACGAAGGGGAACCATTCGGGCTGTTCGCTCTCTGAAAAATCAAAATTTTTAAAGTTTTAAAAAGATGATGATTCTTAATGGAATTTGGCTCTGGATTACAAGGATGGAGCCGGCTCGTCCGCGATACGCAACGCGCGCACGGCTTGGTCAGCGTGAGCGGGTCGTAATCCATTACGTAATGACAAGGTGTCATGCGCGTTGCGTATCGTGAGTAGCACTAGCTATAAACGATAACCTTAACCGCGCCTTTAAACACCTCAGGAAGTTTTGTATTTTCGCTCTCCGTCGAATTAGATTATCTGCACCTTTACGGCGCTCCCTCCATCGCTCACTTTCCAAATCCCAGAACAATTTCATTAGGTTTGTTTTCCTTTTTTTTGGCCTATCAACGCCCCAACCCATGTCCCAAAAATTATGAGCCCAATCTGGCACAAGGGCATATTGCAGATTACAGGCCCCGATAAGCCTCTAGCAAGCCGGGGGTCGGGTGCCGTGCTTGCTCCTCAAGCCAGCGACCTGTGCGAGGTGCGCCCTTGCGAAAAAGAGCCGCCTAGCGCATAAACAGGGGTGATGGTGTCAAATTGCGACGAAGCGAGGCGCCGACACTTTATAGCGTTTTTTTCGGGGTTGAACTTGATGTGTGGGGAGTAGAAGTTTTACGCGCTTCAGGGCTGGTTGGAAGAAACAGGGAGGGCTGAAAAATACGCTTTATTTGAAAACCGGAGCTAGCGAAGCAATTGTAGAAACCTGAAAAAGCCTAATGCGCCAACTACGCACGGAACGCTGATGATGTAGAAATCTGGTGCTACCGCAATTTCGGGGGGATCAACTTTTTCTTTTTTCAACTTTTTCAACTACAGTGAACAAAAAGGCTTCAAAAAATTCAATAGCGTCGTACCCCTGCGCTTTTCAATTATGCCAGTTTACTAGAAATCCCTCGATACCGTATTTTAGAAAATATACGCTAAACACTAAAAGCTACGCATCTACGCAACACTCGTACATCGATCACAAAACCACCCCGTGTCGTGCCCTTCGAACCCATAACCCAGCGCTAAAAAAAGCTCGTGAACCGGTTCCGAATGCCGCGGGGCGCAGCCAGGGACATAAAGCCGCCGGGCGATAAGAAGGTGTTTGCGTGCCCCAGACTTTTTTTGAGGATGGCAAATCACAGCGCCGATATTGATAGGGGTCATTAGGCTCGGAAAGCGGGTAGGAAAAAACCCAACAAAATAAACATGAGAAACCAACCCTTTTCGCGGGCCCATTGTTCCTGTTTTTTCGTCCGAAACGAGTCGTCGCGTGGCATTTCTTGTTGCTGTATTTGACCCAGGGGCATGGAGCCTGAAAATGAGGGAATAGAATTTGAAAACGCGTTTTCTTGCGAGAAAGAAAAAGGAGACTGAAAGGCCAAGTTGCGAAAGCCAAGCCGTTTCCAAAAAAATGTATACGTTAAAAGTCGATTGGACAATCGATTGCTAGCCAAACGACGGTAAGTAATAGACGGCGAAACGTCTCCGGGGGCGATAAATCCGGATGGGTGCGCGGCCCGGATAATACGGCGATCATCGCCGAGATAATACTTGCTGAGATATGGGCGGTGAGAAGGTTAAAAAAATAGTCACCCGCTATACGGATACTAATAGACATTGCGACCGGATAAAAAGCTTATTTCTGGGAAAGGTATTGGTCAAAAACCCTTGAGATCTTTCCCGAACGTTGATCGATACAAAAAAATCGACTGACCCTGAAAGTCACATCAAAGAAACCGACTAAAGTAGAATTTTACAATTCCACCCTAAGTCGGCAGCTCAAAATCGAAAAGCCCGATATTTTGCACCCCGAAACATCCCCCGCCGTGCGACGGCAGTTTTGGGCTCGGCGTAGACGTGTGAATCACGTCGTCGAATTGGCATTCAAATCGGCGATACGACAAAATGGATAGGAGTCTGCAAACAAGAGGAGTGTCGATGGCTTGAGATCTTGAAGCTTTGTGCCAGAAGATAAAACAGAAGTGAATTTCTACTGTAAGAAAAGCCAATTTTCAACTCATTCAATGGATTTTTAGGAAAATTTAGCTCGATGGTAGCCTGATTTTTCGACTAGAATCGATAGATCTCCGAGAGCTTTTGGATTCTAAAGTTTAGAAGTTTACATTTAGAAATTACAAAGTTATAGACGTCAATTGACTAGTTCACATTCCGGTAACGTTATAAAACATCCATTATAAAATCAATTTGTTCGGAGTTTGCAAGGTTTATTTTGGAAAAACACTGTCGGCAAATCTAAACATCAGAAAATACAATAAAATTAATCTAACTTTGGTACGAGCCCGCTAATCTAAAAAAATACTAAGATTTATATACGGCACGTATAGACCAAAACAGACGGGAAGGACAGGCCACTGTATTTCGAAAGAAAACAAGGTGGTTTCCAAGACATAGAGTTGGTGGCAGGTAAAAACCGGGCGCGGGCCAGCTGTTCAAATTGGTGGGTATCAAGGGGTGAGGAAGAAAGGGTGAGACGGGGGCGGAGAAACAGCCAGGCAACGACTACGCCCACCTCACCTCACAGACAAACATACACACGTGCACGCACACACCAATCCTGCCATTATCGCGTTCACACGCCCCGCTTGCATGGCAGGCGTGCCAGACTCAAGGGAGGAAAAGGAGCTGCGCATCTGAAAATGGGGAAGCTCACAGAAAAAGTCGTCTGGCTAGAAGGTTCGCTAGGATCTCGACATGGTCAACAGCATTTTTCCGAGATCCTCGTGTCTTGAGCTTTTGATCGATCCTTCATTCAGATGTTGCTGTTGCCTATCCCGCATCAATCCCCATCGTCGCGGGTTTCAATAGAGTTTTAGGGGCTGCACGACCTCCTAAAACTTTAGAAGAAATCTACCAAATAACTGTCTCTCGATGTTCAAAAATTTTACGGGTGTCGCTGGACGCTTACAATTCCAGACAAACTTTCCGGAAACTGAAACGGAACTTTCCGGAACTTTTTGTGCAACGACACCCTCTATAATGTCATTTCCTTGATGGAAACGATTGAAAAACAACTGAAACCTTTCCAGATCACCTAAAACTTTCATGCAAAGCTCGGGCTCGCTGTAGCGAGCGTTTCTCAACGATGAAAAAGCATTTTTTTTCCACTTTTTCCCATTGCATTTTTGATTAGCATGACATGACGTGAATCATCGCAAAAAGAACACCAAAAATCCCCATGGGCCGAGATTCTGCTCGGAATTCCCCTTCCAAAAAAAAGATTGATCAACGGTTTATTGGTCGATTTTAGTGCGAAAAAATATTTGGAGCAATGGTAGCAACAGCTTCGGTTTTTTTGTTAATTTAATTTTGTCCAGCATTTTTGTTATTCGAGAGCTTTTCTTCGAAACATTGTCGGGATTTTTTTTTCGGTACCCGGCGGCCGGGGGCGTTCCGACAAGCTACTATGCACGCGCGATAGCGCACGAACCACCCCTTTTCAAAGCCTTCGGAGCTTCCAAAGACTAAAAACGGGAATACATTTTTTCGAAAAATTATTCCTTTCTATTCTACATTTATTATGATGTTCTCTAGTTTCTTTATTTTATTTTCTTTGCAGGTCCGCCCGCCTCCATGGACAACCTACAAGAAAGTTTCCGGATACTATGCTACAAAGTATGTTTTTTCTCTTTATACAACTTTATCCTTTTTTCAGATAGCGGACGAGGCGTTCAAGTCAAAAGATCTGCAGCGGCTGAGCAAATCGAACGGTATGCGATTCTTATTCCTTTGAAATTCCCGATCTAGGATGTAAGGTCGACAAGAAGACCGCCGGCGAAATTCGCGAGCGCCATTTGCAACAGTTTTTGACCGGCGTCATGGACGACTTTTCGAAAACGTGCAGCGGCGAAGAGGTTGGTTTTGGATTTTGGATCTTAATTTTTAGTAGGAACGGCGATATGCAAAATTATGACATTCAGTGCCTAGTCAGCCAGAGTAACAGCTAAATTTTCTGTCGATGCTCCATTTCGAGAGTTTTCAGAGGTTGAAAGGAATTTCTATGTTTTTCTCGCAATGAAACTTCCGCGCTTTTTTCGAAAAATTAAAAAGGAATGAAGAATCATGAATTTGACTTTTCGGCATTCTGACTTGTAGCCACGTTTGAGCGATGGGTTTGGCGTTAGCGCAATATTTTTAGAGCGTGCTATTTTTTATATAATCCGCTTTTACAGATTGAGGCGAAGATTGCTCGCCTTGCAGACATCAGGGAAGAAGCTATCGAGAGACACGGAGCTGATGCACAAGGCTATCGTCCGGTCGGGGTACGACATCTTTCTTTTTCAAATTTCTTTCTTTCTTTTAGGACCCGAGGTTCGACACGCTGGGCATCCAGATGAAGTGTAAAGAAGCATACTGTGCACGCTTACAAGAAGAAATTGAAGCACTTGATGAACGAATCGTGGTACATTGTTTCCTTACAGCCAAAATTCATCCCGGTTTCAGGAAAATAAAACCGTAAACGAGCAGAACACCCGAGTCGTCAAGCAGCTAGCCGAAAATATAAAGGAGCGATTGGCGAGGTGGATGGTCTTTTAGCTTTTGTTATTATCTTTTTTTTAGCAAATCTCCTCCAACCGACTGATCTCAACGGCACCAAAAATAACCCATTTATTTATGTACCACCATCTTCCACTTGTGATTTAAGAGACTTTTCCTATAAATGCTTTTCGAGTCTATTGGATCTCTGAGATGGTTCAACGACCGCTGTAACAAAATGCATGTATGGGCGGGTTGGTTATATCGAGAAAGGTTGGTAGAGGCTATGCGGGGCTCGAAGGGTAGCGGCCGCCCTTTCAGTTGTTGTCCACGGCGGCCTTGTTGGTCAACATTCCAGCGGGCTACTCCCCCCAGACACCTCGCATGCGCCCAATTCTTTTTAGTCACACCCGATGGCTGGACGGGTCGACAAACAGCTTATGAGGCATACTAATGTGCAAGTTCGATGGGCTTTTCGTCGGTCGCTGGCATTTTTTAGCTAGGAAGGGTTATGGGGGAACGTGTGGGCCAGCATGTTTTGCCGGATAAGGCTCTTCAGAGTAGACATTCACATCGAATCTTGTCCGCTAAATAACCAAATTGGCTCAGATGCTGCTAGCAACATATGACAGGCATGCTGTTGCGGTTGCTTCTAGCGTAGCCCCAATTAGAACCAGCGGCCCGTCGTAAGCACCCCATCCCCGAGGTAACGGGGTCAATTTGACCAGGTGGCCCCGTCCGCTGCCCAACATGCGGCCCATGCGCTGATTTTTTTGCTGGGTGAACAGATACGTCGGCGCTATTTCGGAATAGGGGACCCACTTGGATTGTCTCCAAAACCAATTTTTCTGGGGTAGTTTTGTGCGCTGGTTCCGAATAACACCATCCCAGCTCGTAAAAAGTTACATTTTTACAAATAAAAGTGATTTTTATCGGCATTTTTCACGTCTGCAAACCGAACGGGGGGCTACTAACCGAATTTGTATGCGCGAATGCCATTCAGTCTACACTTTAGTTTAAAAATTATTGTGGCCCTCAAGAGGGCCGTTTGTTTTTTGAGTGTGGGTTTGGCTCTGACGAGAGCCTTTGGGTTATGGCCCTAAAAAGGGCCTTTGGGTTGGGGTAGGGTCAATTGGACGCGTTATTCGCATGGAAATTGAGTGGCGACTTGAGACCAAAAGTTGTAGAAAATTTCGTCGGTCTGGCCGAATTGCTGTCGCCAAATAAATTCGCCGAGATAATCATCGTAATCGTCATTGTTGGCGGTGTTCATGCCATTAGCTCTCTTGATCTTCTTTTTAAACCTCGACCACTGGCTTTCCACGTTTTGCGTATGAGTACCAGTGACAGGGTCGACGAAGTTTTGCGAATGGTTCACAGTTAGATGTTGATAACCTTGAGGAAGATTGCCGATGCCACCATATGCGGCCCAACAATCGCTATGGATGATGGAACCTGGACGGATGTATTGTTGAATAAGCGGAAGCAGTGTTTGAGCGTCCCGACGGTCTATTAGCTCTAGGAAGCCACGACCCGAACCACGTTCGATTCCTCCAAACATCCACATACGTTGGTGGCCCGGCATTCGTCCTCTATTGTACTTGCGGCTCGAAATCGCCGTTTCGTCGATCTCCACGATGATACCCGGACCTCCAATGGTTCTTGGGTTTGCCTTGAAGTGCTCCGAGAAAATATCACGGATCCACTGACCCCATTGCACAGCTGCCTCAGTACCCATTTCGACTTCAGCCTGGATTTGAGCAATGGCGCCGAACTCTTTCAGGTAGTAGTAGGTATAGTGGAAAAATTTTTTCAAGGCCTTCGTGTTTTCAAAGAAGGTACCCTTGTAATATCCGATCTTCGGTTTTGACTCGCCACGGCGGCACGCGCGTGCGTTACAAACCCATGATCGGCCTCCACCGGCTCCAGTACCATATACTACCATGTTCGGTTGACGACACTTTGGGCAAGTGCGAACGCCATGCAGCAAACCCATGCTCTTCAGCCAGTCTTCGAATTGCTCATCGGGTAGGGCGAGCTGTTGATGAAGCTTGAGGAGATTCATACCCCAAAGGGCATTTATTCCAGCAGCGACGTTCATGTTGAACGAGGATGATAAAGCCATGATAATTTGCCCTTTATACTCTAGCACCGTACCCCACCGTACCCAAATATAACCCAAAGCGTCCATTGGCGCTGTGCATAGTAGCCCTCCGTACTGCTTTCAAAGGTAAAAAATTCCGATAAAATTTTTTGTTTTGTAAAAGTAAACTTTCAAAAACTTTTTCACGGGCTGGGATGGTGTTATTCGGAACCAGCGCACAAAACTACCCCAGAAAAATTGGTTTTGGAGACAATCCAAGTGGGTCCCCTATTCCGAAATAGCGCCGATACGTCTACCTTACTCCAATATCCTTCTTTTTTTGGTAGATTGCATTTTTTGCGCTTTGGCGGCACATCCGGGGCGAGTGGAATCCTGGGAACGAACAATGACGGGAAAAACCGGGCTTTTCATATTCAATTTGTCTCAGTCATTCCATTTTTCTCTTTCCGTCTTCCTGCTTTCATTTAATACGTTTTCTTTCAGGACCCGGTCTAGTCCCCGAACACCGGCAGTCTTTCTTCCATGGCGACTGCCAAGCGGCGCGACGAGCGCCGGATTTTTGAACACTTTGTTATCGCAGGATTAAAGGTTTGTGACACTTAGAAATCATCAAGCCTTCTTCAGAAAGATGCCGAACACATCAGACCGACCGCACAAGAATGTGGGCGGAGAAACACGGAACCGCTGGCGCCGATCACCGACATTTGCGTCATTTTCCCGGATCAAGGGGAGACGGTACGCCAGATTTGGAATGCTGGAAAATATGGGCGGTTTTAGGTTCCCGACGGTTTTGAGATGATCCACTCGACCCCGCTAGCCTACCGTGCCGATCTGAACCACGGGTCTTTTTTGCGAGGCGCTTCTTGTTTCCTGTGTTTCCGAAGGGGCTATCATAAGCCGCCATTGATAGACATTGGGGTATTAGACAAAGGTTGGTAAATAAAAGAGCCTATTTATCGACCAACTTTCTAAAAATTTTTGCAAATGAAAAATTTAGGACGTGGGGAGAAACCGATGGTGGATTCGACGACCGTTTTGACAACACCGTTCGGCCGGACGGCAAACGTCAATAATTCCTCTAATGTAGGCGAAGTTTTTCGTACATCTATTTTTCCTAGGGCATCTTCCTCACCTACCGTCGGGCACCCGCCAACAGCGCGCCCAGCCAGTTGGTCGTCACGCACATTTCTGTGATCATTGCCAGCAAGGGCGAAATCCCTCCGCACACCTACTACAAGATCCCGAAAAATTTGAACAAGGCAAGTATATAAAACCATGACAATCAAATTACCTGTTATTAGGGGTTTGTCGGCTCCGAGGTCTACATTTGCTATAAGAAATCGTTGGGCTCGGCAAAGCGGTTAGCCTACAAGCCTGCCATTCTCGATTACTTCCCGAAAAAGGCGCCTACAGACGATGGTGAGGGTTTCGTGCGGTTTTTTATTTTCTTTAGAAGAAGACGGTGAGCGGAATTTGCTGGAAAACGTGCCCCTGTTTTGCCTGCCTATGGGAGCATTAATTGAATGTTGGTCGAGTAAGTTGTAATCAACATTTTAAAACTAATTTTTCTGCAGACAAATGTCAAACTCCCGAGCGTCAATATTCAACGTTTGTGCTCACTGACGAGGTTTTATCGATTTCGATTAATCTAGAGTAAATTTAGATGAATCAAAAATACTACGGCGCTTCCGTGACCTTCTACGAGAAATACACCGGTGATTTGAGTCCGGAGCAGCGGGACAAACTCGGGGTAACTTTTAATTTTCTTATGTTTAATTTTTTTTCAGGTCGAAATTCCGGAAAACGAGGAGGTTGGCGGTGCGATGGACGATACGGCATCGGCAAATGACCCGGCTGAGCAGGTATTAAAATTCGAGATACTGGAAATATAGCACTTTTAGTTTGCCTTCCACACAAACCTGTCAATATGCATCGTCTCGCGCTACCCGTTCTTCCATCCCTTCAAGCGCTTCTTGTTCTACATCCATCGGATGGCCCGCGCAAGTAATACGATACACTCCGTGCCCATTGAGCGGTATATTTCGCATATGGTACGTTTTTTTCTGGAAATGAATATACAAAACTTTTGTAAAAATTTGATCGATTTTTTTAGATGTACGAAGTCTCGTTCCCCACCCTGCGAAGACCGCGTGTTTTGATGCAGCTCGGCGCGGAAATGGTTACATTTGAGGCCCAGGACGAGCAGCAGCTGCCTCAGTATGGAGCCGCTCTGTTCGAGGCGCTAAAGGTATCCATTACAGCGATTTTCCGAAAAATGTTTTGTTTTTTAGAGCCTCGGCGTCGAGAGCACGTTGTACCTCTTTTTGCTGGCGCTGCTGGAGCAGAAGATTTTGATACACTCGTTGAGGTAAAGAATTCTGGCAGCACACTTGACAATAAAGCTTCCAGACCGCTGGATTTTAACAAATTTCATTTTAAAATTCTATAAACGTAAGGTATTTTTCTATTCCGTCGTTTCAGGCCGTGGCTGCTGACGGCGGTGGCGGAAACCGTGTGCACGCTGATGTTCCCCTTCCATTGGCAGTGTCCGTACGTGCCGCAGTGCCCGCTCAGCTTGGCTGGCGTCCTCCACGCTCCTCTCCCGTTCATCGCCGGGGTCGATTCCAGGTACCAAAACTATCAGTACCCTAAGAATCTTTCCCGTCTCAGGTACTTTGACCTCTACGAAGACCCGCCCGTCGACGTCACCTGCTTCGACCTGGACACGCAGACGATCAGCGGCAGCAAGACGCGCCACGAGATCAAGCTCTCGATGGTCCCGAAAAAGCCGTTGAAGAAGTTGCGCGCCTCGTTGGACGAGCTCAACAAGCTGTATGGAATTTGATTCTTCAAAAAACCCTGATGTTTTAGGATTCAAAAGCAAGACTTCAACCTCAGCCAGCTGCAAAAGGGAGACTTTGTACGCACCGACGTCGAGCAGCAACTCCAGATGAAAAAGAAGCAAATTGAGATTGGGATCCAGGAGGCGTGTTTGAAGTGGGTGTTCGATATCATATTTGAAAGTGTCGTGATTCTTAATAAAGTATTCGAAAGCTCAGAAAATTTGGCTTATTTTTTCAAATATGATTTTTTTCAGGTTTATGGCATCGCTGATGACGGGCTACCAATCCTTCCTGCGCCCCATCGTCTCCGCCCCGTCCAGCAAATCGGCCACGGACACCGGCAACCTGTTCGATGTCGAGGCCTTTCTGCGCACGCGTGACAAGGAGAAGCAAGATTTCTACCGGCGCTTCTGCTCCACCCAGTCGTTCATCCGCTTCATCGAGGAGCGCTCCTTCGTCTCCGACAAGTCGGCCTACAACGCGTTTTTCGACGACTGCATTCAGAAGATGATGTTGGCAGGTAAAAATTTGGTTTATACCGGATGAAGGGTCATAAAAAATGTAATTTTCGACCGTAATATTGTGAAACAAAAGTTTTCCTTAAAAAAGGTTTTTGTTCTTTTTGGTATTTGGAAACTGCTAAAAACACTATGAAAACAATAGAGGTTAGGGTGAACAAAAAAGCGAGTTCTCCCGGCTGCCCCCCCCGCTAACGAAAAAGATCCCTTTTCCCAGCCCGGCCGTCTTTCTTGCCTCACCACCGTTTTTAGATATCTCGGGCGGCGAAATTGGAGCCCTCCTCGAAATGGACGCCTCTTTGACCTCGAACACCGTCTTCATCCCGCCGCCCGAGCCGCTGCTCAACCTGGACGGCACGGAGCGCAGCTTCAAATAGTTAGAAAAATAGACACGACCTTTATCGATTTTTTTTCAGCACCGAATTCCCGCGCCAGCTCGACCCGACCCTGTTCCAGCTCGACAAGCTGAACATTGAGCAGAACACTGAGCCACTGCAAATTCCGGTGGAAAAGGAATTCGGGAGGTGCGTATCGCTTTAATCGATGAAATTGGCGCCCTAAATTCAGATGCGCAGCCGTGCGTACGAAGCACGAGGTCCGCTCATCGCTTCTCATGGCTTCAAACGGTGTCAGGACTCAAAAAGTGAGCATTTCTGGCTAACTTGGATGAGCCGAATTTAGCTCTACTGGCCCCGGATCCTCGTCTTCTACGCGTATTCCCTCTGGTTCATGCAGCTGCCCTCGATGTTGGCGCTGGCGAAGAATAAGCGGAAAACGTTGAGGCTGGCTTTTCACGTAAGATTTTTTGAAGCCTGAAAATCCTTTTTTAGGTCCTTGCCCGACTGGAGGCCACCGAGGTGATCCCGTTGGACCAGGTGTGCTACCGGATACTCATCGAGCTGTGCGGACAATGCGGAGAACCCCATCTGGCCGTGCTGGTGCTCCACGCGATGCGCCGCGCCGGGCTTGAGCAGAACGCTGTGACGTACGGCCTCTACCATCGGGCGGTGATGAACGCCGAATGGCCGGCGGCTGGCCGAGTGAAGGCGGATCTTTTGTGGCGTCGTTTGAGGTAAATTTGTGTAAACCTTCTCCAAAATATGTTTTTTTTTTGCTGTTTGGTGTATTGCATGGTTAGCTTCCGAAGTAAAAAAACACCGCGTTTCGGAGTTATAAGACTTTTCGCGGTGTAATTACATATTATGAAAAGTAGCTATTATGAAGATTCGGCATTATGACCTTTCGGCACTCTAATATCTCGATTTGATTAAAATTCGGCAGCACGACAGTCAGCATTTTTATGACTATAAACCATTTTAGGATGATACTCATCGGGATGACACACTTCCGGAATCGCCGCCGATTCACTGGCGAGCGAATGGCCGTTGACTCGGCGTCAGTATCTGACCCGGGCTACCACAGCGAGGCGACGACAACGCCGGTCTCCGTAGCCATCGACGAAACGCTAAGGGAGGAGGATGAGGAAGACCGCTTGCGCACAGCCCCCTTCATCATCACCTCCACGCCGTTGGACGAATCACGGAAAATGTCGGAGAATCGCGAGGTGAAGACACCAGAGCCGAGCGAAGAGAAGGAAGTGAGAAATCCGTTGATGCCCCGCCATGAGAATGCCGACCCGCTGGGCGCCCTCCATCCGGACCGAAATCAGCATCACGACCATGAGAGACAGGTAGATGACCATTTTAGATTTTTGATTTTGTATCGTGTTTTCATGCATTTTAAATTTTAACTTTGCTATCATTTTTATTGCCGGTATTCTAGAAATCTGCTCCCCCCGACGTTGGAATGTCGCCAGCCAGGGCCAAGTTTTTGGCCGACCACACCGAGGAGCGCCTGTTCAAGGAGGAGGGCGACAAGAAGCTGGACAAGGTATTATATTTCTTTCAATTCAGTTAATTTTTATATGAAAAGAATTATTTTGTTTTCGATCAGTGAATTTTCACATTAATAGAATTAGTTTTATGCCGTGATTTGGGCTTTTTTAGGAGAAGAAGAGCGGCTGGTTCTCCGGCATGGGCAAGAACATCGCCAACAGCCCGTTGATGAAGATGATTCGCAGTCAGACCACCGGTGAGTTTTACGCAAACTCTGTCTATCCGAGCGCCAACGCGTAAGCCATTTCTCCTTGATTTTCAGCTGAAAACCCGCCAGCCCCAGGTAGGCTTGGTAAATTACACGTGAAATTGTGGTAATCTGGCGACGTGTTGCTTACCGTGGCGTTAACCGCACTCGAAAATGACCCTGTTGAAGATGTTGTAACCTCCATAATAAAACTCCCCCTTTACAGACCAATTGGACAAGAAGTCCATCAATTCGGACGGGTCGTCGGATAACGGGACGTCGCTGGGGAATTTCGTAGCCAGCCCCTCGCTGCATAACATTGTCTCGCAAGTCAAAAAGGGATACGACGAGGTCGTGCGAGAAGGAGGTGAGTGCACGAAGCACGGCATGATAAGAAACGGACAGACACACATCGTCGAGTTTTTTGGGCTTCATCAACGATCGGTTGTCTTCCGGCTTGATCTCATTGATGGTCGATTCTAGGAGCTTTGACTCTTCTTGAACTCTTAGTGTTGATAGGGTGCTCGAAAAAACCCTGCCATGATTTAGGTATCAGGGCGAGGCTTTTTGAAAATGATATACTCTCTTTCGGGTTTGAAAATTCCGATTGGGTTTTTTGCTCGATTTTCGGTTTTTTAGGTACTGTTTCTTTCTTCGACGTTTTCGAAGATACTAGCTCGATCTTAGCGTGGTGAAATTATGCCCGAAAAATAGCTATGTGCTAGAAAGCTTAGAAATTTTCAAAATCGTTGGTTTTATGAGAAACTTTTCAGAGGGGAGCGCCTCAAGAACCCGGTTTTGCTCGAATATTTTTACAAATGAAATTAAAACTAGAAAACTTTTGAAATAGAAAATCTCCCGTATATCTCTCGCCGGTTTGAAGAGTTTTCGATTGCTACCTAAATCATAGAAGTCGGGGCATTCCTTCGTATTGGTAGCGAAGAATGTGTTTTTTCTTTATCTGGGACACCCTGAAGACGTTCTGCAGATTTTTTGGGCCCTGTTACAACGGTCATCCTTCTGGTTCTTTTAAATTGGAGGGTATTGACGACACAGAGAACTTTCTGCCTCTCTCACACGTATCAGACAATCCAGCTTGTACCTCCCTAATATCACCCATTTTCTACAGGCACCCAGAAGAAGAGTTTCGGCTCAGGCAAGTCCACCCATCATAGCTGGTTCCCACCTGATTCCCGCAATTTCTTTCGCTTTTCGCTCCTCCTCGACTGTTCCCCGCAGCCAATTTGTGCATTTCTGCGTATTTGTGCCGATCCCATTCTTACTTCGACGCCCGCTTCGTCTTTTCCGCATGAATAACTGCCGCGTCGGTTCGGCCAGAATGCTTTGTGTTGCCTGAAATCGTGATTTGCAAAATCGGCGGAGCGGCTTTTCGCAACCTCGTTCGTGGCTTTGGAAGACCCTTTTGTAGCGTTTTTTTCTTGTTTTCCCTGGCTTCATCTACCAATTTAGGGATGTCGTCCAAGCTCCGCTCCGGCGTCTCTTCATTCGTCCAGGAGGTCAAGGGCCTCCAGAAGTCTGCCGGGCTGCTCGGAAGTGGCCAAATTTTCAGTGATGATGCGGTGGGTTTTCATGACTGATACCTGGTTATGGTCGAGCTGCCAAAACATCACCAAACTGTCTTTGAAAGCCGCAATGTATTTTGGAATAATTTTTTTCGAATTGAATTTTACTGAAGAATATGGTTTTTGATGTTTGGACTTTTGTAGCAATTCGTAGTATTGGGATTTTGTTCCAAAAAGTTTTTTTTCAGCTAGAATTGACTTTTATGTTTGAGTTTGTACGTTATTATGAAGCCATTGGGCAGCAAAAAGGGGCGCTAGGCTTACAATTCGCGCCGTTCGGTCATGAATTTTGCAAATTTCAGGCCGAAGTCTGGTGCCGGCTAAATTTTTGTCGACAAAATAATGTTAACCTTTTGAAATCTATGAATTCAGGATTCCACCAATTCCGGCAGCGTCGACGAGCATAACCCCGCCTACCAACTGGACAGCGGCTCCCCGGACTCGCTGCTGAACGAGGCGTTCTGGATGCGCGGGCTTTTCGAGGAAGAAGAGGTGTTGCTACTCGAATTTCCGCGTAACACCTCATTCCAGGTGCACCCCACCTCCTCTCGCGTGATGGACGTCTCGTTGTGCGTGGCGACGCTGTGCCCGCATTGCCAGATTATGGTCTACGACGAGGAGATTATGGCCGGGTGGAAGGTAACGCCGTGGTTGTGTTGTCGCATGCTATATATTCTCCTAGGGGCCGTATTTGGAGAATGGGCATTCTCAGGTAGTTCTTTGACCCCGGCAGATTGCAGGTTCTATTTTTTGGGACCCCGGTGTTGGTTTTCCAAGAGAGGCTGTGATGAGGTTTAACTTTTTAGTGAGATAACAAGAGATGGAAAAAAACTTAAAAAAATAGGATTTATTGAGTTTTATTTTAGCCTGTTGATTATAAAATCCGTGAATCCGCATGAAATTAACTCAGCAGATTTTCTGTGTATTGCTTGGAAAGCTTTTGGCAGTTTTTCGATTTTATCTCTCCCTTTTAGCCCTCTAATTTTCAAAAAGGTTTGATTTTTGATTCGTCAAAGTTTCCATTTGGCTTAAGTTTTCGATAGTATCTCCCCCTCTCCCCCTCTAATTCTGCCTAAATAGCTTTGGGGAAAAGGCTGTCCATTTCTCACGTAAAAATTCCTACTTTAGGTGGAAGACCAAAACATGAACACGGAGTGCCCGTACTGCCGCGGCGACGACACCGACCATCATGGTATGTCTTACCGAATTATATTTTTGCTATTTGCACTTTTCAGGCCTCTTCGCCCCGATGCTGCACGTGAACTTTGCGTGGAAGAAGGACAGCCGAGTCAGCTGGTACCAGCCGGCGCTGCGGAAGCCGGACGCCGATGCTTCTGCTGTGAATGAAGAGGGGGAAGCCAGTGAAGTACGTTTTTTCAAGCTACAATTTTTCGTAGTCTGTATTACTACGCAATTTACTGTTTTTAGCCGCCAGCCCCGCTCACCGTCGCCTTCGTGTCGCCCGTGGTGTTGCGCAGAGAGCTGGAGACGCTCGTGCACCAGGATATGCAAGCTCTAACGTTGGACTTTTCTTTTTGCAGCTTCTAAGCTTCTCTTCAGGACAAATCCATCATGGAAACCCATCCGGTCATCTTCTGGAATTTGGCGTACTTCCTGAAGCGGTTGGCCCTTCCGTCTCACTTCATCTCCTGGCTTGGTGAGTGGAAACCGTGGAGTCTTTGCGTATAGCTTTACAATCTTTT